TATGAATTTTGATATTGAGATGGACATGGATCTCGCAATGGGTAATAACGGCTCCGAACCATGGGCTGGCTTACAATCAAATAACATTGACATGAGTGCATTTGGCGCATTGGAAACCATGGAAGGTATAGGAGAAATGGATGAGACATTTAATGTCGAGGGACTAGAGGAATTGAACGAAGAGGATATGAATAAAGACATTGAATACGCGGAGTTGCATAGAGTTAGTACGGCGACGGCTAGTCCGTGGAGAAGGAGAGCCAGTGAGAGGTTGGCAAGGGATGGTGGGAGAGGGTTTGATTTTGAGAGAGGTGGTAGGGAGAGGTTGTGGTAGAGATGATAGGAGAAAGGAGAATTGAGAATGAGGGTTTTGTTTTTCATAGATTGGTGATGGGTATTGGGTTATTGGAAGGCGTTTGGGTGTCATTTTCATGATGGGTGTATTGAATGCAATGAAATGAGATATTGGAACGACGATAAAATCTGTGTATAGAAATAAAAGAGGAAGGGGTGCAATGGAATGGAATGGGATGGAGTAGGATGAGATAGATAATTCTAATTGAACGATATCCAAATCAACAAACACCATTTGACACTTGATACTCCATATTCATTCATCTCCAACTGATGCTCCGCTGGCCCTCCGGGAGCCACTGCCGTGGAGGCCGAATAGATTCTTATTGGATGCAAGTGATGTTATGGTATATAAATCTTCGACTCTCAACTTTGAAGAAATACGTATACGATATCCAATATGAAGTGAGTATTTCCAATGATGAGAATGATTGGATAGGGGTTAGATAATAACTTAAAGCTTTCGGACGAGAGGAGATCTCTGGGAGGAATCTATTCGGGGATTTGATATATGGAGCTAGGTAGGCAGGTAGGTAGTTAAGTATATAATGGGTTTTAGGACTTGGGGGATGGGAATGGGATCTTGATTTATCATTATAGAGTGGTATTGTGTTGTGGTAATAGAAAAGATGATTACCTACCTAGTCATGGTTGATGAAAAGAGAGAAATAAAGTTTTGCTCTTATTTGATTTCTGATTTTAAGGTTGTTGTTGTTGTTAATAACTACTATTTCTGTTGTATCCATCTATGGATATGAGATTCGGATGTAAGATCTTATATGTGGTGCAGCGAGATGTTGGCTGCCCCTTTATACTATCTATAGGTATATAAGGTTCTTCGAGCGAATCTTCCATCTAGGTTAGGTTAATACTGTAGGTTACCCGAGATTTCTCATGATAACCTTATCCGAATGAGAAGATAACCTGAAGTTTAAAGCTATGATGGTGAGAGGGAAGAGGTAAATCTGGGTATATTATCTTGTAAGATCTTGTATCTGCTTGTGTACCACGCACTGGGAACTCCCTGTCGTGCTTTGATGGGGTTGTTCCGCTTGCTTGATGAGTTTACCAAGACTTTGGGATTTTGGTACGCTTAGGATTGGATTTTTGGGATGTGGTGGTCTAGATGCGGATCGTTCGTTTGTTATCTGGTAATAGGGTTGTGGTATGATGATCATATAAATTGTACTGTTCATGGTATCAATACATGGTATCAATACATGGTATCAGATCATAGTGATCCTTCCATATCATAGGTTAAAGAACATCAAAAGAAAACCAAAAGAAGGATATGAAATGATGGGGTGTCGTCTGCATTGAAGCGAGTGAAAGTAAGATTACATATACTTCTCAAGCCGATAGAAACTTATGACTTGGTGTTATATCGAGAAGTGTCACAACTAATAGGACCATAGATGTCTATTGGACTATACACAATGACATGTTTTATTCTATTCTTGATGTGATAGTTATGTCAAAAGTAGAATACTCTTCGGTAGACTATGCATAACTCGACTCTTGTCTGACTAACTATTTCCTTGTGGCATTACCATTGAATCTTCCACGTTACATCAAAATTGATTATAAAGTTACAATCAAACTGACACATGCAATATCGAAACTTTAAGCTGGCAAGATGGTAGTCATCCCCAGATATATCTCAAATGATCGGACGGCGACGTCAAAGGTCGGTCAGCTCGGACCATACCCAAATGTGCGAATCCTCCGATATTCCCCTGACTAGTGATCTTCCATGCGTCAGTCCGAATACGATGCATATCAACTAGTCAATTATGGTCCATTTTTGGGGGTTTGTTCTCTTTATTCTGTTCATCAATTAGATTGACGGTTCGTGATTCTTCTTATTTGCTAACTTGAACGTAATGCGCCTCAATGTGAGAATGCGAGCATGCGAGGGTATTCGCATCTTAGCAATTTGAGTAGAAGATCTGAGTTAGAAATCCAGTCAGTCTAGCGCATAGCCATAATTTGTGCCTTGGAAGGTGGTTCTGGGTAATATTATATGGAAAATTCGTACTGGAAAGAAACATGCATGTCCTCAGAAGGAAATATATAAGAAACTTCTATTCGGCTTCCTCATTCATCACAACAGCTTACAACTTTATCTTTCAGTCTATCACTTTCTTTAATCGGTTTTTTCTATCTTCATCATGTTTTCCTTGCTACTCGCAGGATCTACTTTCGTAGGAGCTGTTTACGCAGCTTCTAATGTTTCAACCTCCCTTTCAGGTACAACTGTAACGACCGATTACGGAACCTTTACCTATTCGGAAGCTTCAGCATGTGCATGCTCTCATCTATCATCTAGTTATCCGGAGTACCTCTACTTTCCAAACACCTCAAACTACACTTACTACAACCTTGAGGCATGGGATATCAGAACTAATGCGGACCCAGCTTGTATCTTCAGTCCTATCAATGCTGATCAAGTGGCAGCGGGAGTAGGAATTATCAGCACTTGTGATGCTCAATTTGCTATTCGTGGTGGGGGTCATATGAATGTAAGTCCTTAGTACATTTGAGGTTAGGAGTCTTCCGCTGACGGTTTCATAGTTCCCTGGAGCCAACAATATCAATGCTGGTGTAATGGTAGCTCTTGCTGGCCTTAATGACCTTCAGATTTCCGCCGATAATACCACCGTGGATGTTGGTCCAGGTAATAGATGGTATGATGTCTACTCTTATCTCGAACCTTATGGTCGTATTGTCATCGGTGGTCGTCTGAAAACCATTGGTGTTCCTGGTCTTACTCTTATCGGTGGTGTCCATTACTTCAACAACAAGTATGGATATGCAATGGATAACGTTGTGAACTATGATGTTGTTCTTGGAAATGGTACTCAAGTCAAAGCATCCGCAGATTGTAATCCCGACCTCTTCTGGGCATTGAAAGGTGGTGCCAATAACTTCGGTATCGTCACCAAATTCACACTCAACACATTCGATATCCCTCTCGTCAGCACTACGATCCAAGTATTCGACGAAAGTGGAATTGAAGCTTTCCTTCAAGCTACCTGTGATTTGGCTGCCAATAACGATCCTTCGATTGCAGCTGGAGCAGTTATTACTACTACATACAATGCCACTACAGGAGCTATGTCAGCATCCCTTCTAGGTGTTCAAGCTGGAACCGAAAGTCCACCATCTAGATTCGAAAACTTTACAGCAATTCCGGCATTACAATCTATAAATAATGTTTCTTCAATGGCTACTTTTGCAGCACAACTCGACTCCCCTCTGCAAATGTTCCGGTAAGTTTCACACAGTCTGTCATGAAATGATCACTGCTAATGTGTAACTCCAGAGTCGAATTTGCTGTTCATTCCATGAAACCAAATGGAAATGTTCTCTATCAAATGTGGCAAATGTGGAAAGCTGCAGTCGAAGATGTTAAAGACGTTGTTGGTTTCTACCCAACTTTCGTCACAAATCTTGATCCTAAAAGCGCCAACACTATCGCAAAAACCAACGATATTGGAAATGTATGGGGAAGAGATGACACTGAATCTGAAATCTGTGAGCCACTTTTCTTTTTTGTAAAACTCCCTAGTCGATTTGAAGAGATACTAACATAAAAAAGGGTGGCAAATGAGCACCGGCTGGGATTCAGTACAAGACGATCTCCGCATGACAACATGGATCCAAAAAGTCATGGGAGAAATCCATAACTTTGCTATTGCAAACAATGTCTCCAGCGACGAAACAGATTTCATCTATATGGGTGATGCTGGAGGATGGCAAGATCCATTTTCTACCATGCCAGCGGAAAATGTGGAGAAGATGATCACGATTAGGGAGAAATATGATTCTCTGGGTGCGTTTTCGCGTTTGAATTGGGGTGGATTCAAGATTCCTTCTTAGAAGGGTTGAGACGAGAGACAAGGAGGTTGTTAGATTGTATGATGGGGAGTGTGACATGCGGAGAGGGACTTGGAGATGATTGACTATGGTGATGGGTTTGGTTGTCCGTGCATGGAAGGGGGCGCTGGATATGGTCATTGTATATTATTCTTATTTTTTAAACTTCTATAGAAATACCTACTCGAGGTTTCTAATAGTCTTGGCTTCATATAAATTTCAGTGCTTCCAATAGTTCGGACTGTAGTCTAATAGGATTTTAGTTTGAGGATTTTGAAAGTACATTTATCGATGTCATAAATTCATTGTTCAGAAAGGATTGTATATTCAACTTTCTTGATTGTTGGACTGTAGGCTAGATGGACTATTTGACACTCTGAATCGAACAATCAGAGGTCAGTTTTTGTAATCATCGAAATACCGTATGATATTCGGTATCCTATTCCTGATACCTGCGAGATCTGCAATTCGTTCTGAAAGTAAAAGACCAGGTGACTGAGGGCAGTTGATTGTCACTGCGTCAATTGAATTTTGACAAATGTGTCCTTTCAACCATTGGGAACAAAGATGGTATAGCATGTAGCACAAGTAGACTCTTTGACTGCAATCCTATCTCTTTATTCTACCTCGAAATTTATGTCTACTTCCTCATCATCCTTTCCAGTTTTTCAACTACTAGTATCTCTTTCACCTTCCCCTTTAAAAGATCCATCGCTTCCAGCTTCTTCTTTCCCTTCTCCTTGGACCTCTTTTCTCTCTTCCTTTATTCATTCTACTTTCCTTAATAAATCTTCAATACGTTGAATACTCCATTCTATTTCATCCAACGCATACAGCTCATCTCGAAACTTCAATATTCTTGTTTCCGCGCCCTTCAATTCTTGCTCTACGTAATAGATTTCTCGAAGAAGAAAATCAATCTTCTCTAATCTCTCTTTCTCTAAATTACGGCCATTGTTGATGTTACCTGTAGTCGAATCCAGGGATCGCCATCGTCGAGGTACAAGTGGAATCGTGTTTGACAACTGAGCTACCGAGTTCTCTGTGCATGTTGCTGGTACGACTGTCAATGATGAAGTTGAAGTTGATTCCAAGGTTGTTGTGGGAGGTTGGGTTGAGTCCGAGACTGAAACTGGGTTTGTGACTGGCATTGTGATTAATCTTTGATGTATGTATGTTTGGTAGAGAGTGCTGAGAAGTATGCAGTAAAAAACAATGAGGAGTCATCGAGGGTCTTTATAGGAGTTTAAATCTATGGTGTCTCATTATAGGTTTGATTAGATGTTGTGTTATTGTTTCACATTGTTGAGAAGTGCATTCTAGAATCTCGGGGATTGTATGGAGAACCAGAAGAACATTCAAGAAGAAATGTTCTAGATATATCTACGTAGCTTCATGAGATGTCAGGATCGTACATGAAACCTCTTTGAGAATCTAGAACTATTGTTTTGGCCAATTGCGTCACACTGACTTCAACAGGTACATTTCGATACTAAATTTCACCACTAAAGAAACATCAAAATAGTTATTGAATCTTGAAAAATACAACAAAATCATTCTATTGCACGCGTATTGAGATAAGAGTGTGATAAAATTCTCGCTAAGTGAATGTGAAAAGGCCTTAAGATACCCATGCAACAAGACTCGAAAAAAAGTAAAGCATGAGCACAGTTGCTCAAAATACTCTCAATCGAACAATGCACCAAGGAAATATGTCCAGTAACCTCGCCTCTTCTTCTCCTCTTTCATCCTCTCTATCTCCGTTCGTAGCAAATGGACCTCATGCTTTTCTTCTTCATATTTCTGTTCCAAGCAAATCCATTTCCCCAAGCTCTCTGCTGCATGTTGTCGGGCATCATCTCTTTCCTTCTGCGCCAGCTGCATCTCTCTCAATCTCACCAATGCATTTCGCTGCGCGTCATTCATTCGACTCAATCTCTCAGATGCAAGCTGCAATGCCTCATCTCTTTCTCTTTCTGCCAACTCCATATCTTCAGATCTCTTGGCTGCGACTCGTCTCGCTTCATTGATCTCCTCCACTTTTTCGTTCTGCCACTCTGCGACTTCAACGATAAGTTGCTTTCCCTCATCTTTTCCTTCTCCACCTGCTTCTGCAATTTCAAACTCGCCTCTGCTTGCAAAATAGCTTGATCTCTCTCCGCCTGCACCAACGCTATTTTCTCGCCGACAAAAATTCCCGTCTTCCTCTTCTCCAATTTGGTCAGCTGATACCGCATCTCCCATAATTTGCGCTTGGTATCATCGTTTTCCTTCTCTATGATTTCGTACTTCGTCTTGGTTTCTGCCGCACTGAGAATTGCGTCATCTCTTTCCTTTTCTAAGATCAAGCTTTTTGACTTTTCCATCAAGAGTTGTTCAAGGAGATTGGAGCAGCGTTCCGTTGCTTCGTCTCGCTCTTTGATTAAATCCTCGTTTCTCGGTGCAGCGTCTCCAGATTCTGTGGATGAGTCGTCTGTCTGAGAGGAGGTGTGAGTAACCATACTACCCGTCGATCCCACCGGAGAAGAAGGGCGACTTTCGATGGGAGAAGCCAAAAATGGCTCAATTGGTGAATTGGGTTCGGATATCTTAGGAGACTCTAGTTCCCAGGAATTCCGGTGGTTGAATCGTGGGTGATACGCTGGTCCAATATCGAAAGAGATGGGACTCGATGCCGATCCTGCTTTCTTGTAATATCTTGCGACATCCTTGGCGACGTTGGCGTGTATGGAATCTCGAGAGGGATTGTCAGATTCGGACAGCGGACGGAGACGTAGGACTGGAGTACTGGAAGGGGGTGAAGATGACATTTTCGTTTGGGGTGAAATGAGGTGTTGGAGTTGTTGTACACGAGAAAGGTATTAAATGATATTTTTTTTCTTTATACTATTCAGAATATGGAATTCACGGACTGCTACCATTTTTTGATTCTGCTTTTTCTTTATGTTTTGCTCTGAAACGCAAAAATTAGATCTATGTGTTAGGCTTGGAAAGGAAAAGAAAGACATTTTGGCACGCATCCTCTCGTAACAATTATCATGAATCTAGATCATTCGAAGTTCAAAGAAACACATCATCGAAACATCCAGAGGGATGAAGACTGACAGAGAGCTATCTCCTACGAGTTTATAGTAATGAAGATACATCAATAGGTGCATGTATTGACAGAACACTTCTCAACTTTCAAATTTTTTAATAAATTCATTCTTCAATTTTTTGCTATCAAAATTCGTAAAACGATTATTCCATCTCTAATAAATAATTTTGATGATTTTCAAAACACAAAAATCGACATGTAAAGAAATATTCACAAGTCCACTTTTTGCAGTGTCCCGTCACCCACTGGTGATACTATAGAACAAACATGAAAAGTCCAAGATGAAATAGAACAATAAGATCTCAATTTCCAGAATTGAATAGAACAATTATGCTTTAACACACAAGTATCTACGTACAATAAGGGGGTACAGGTTCAAAACTCCAGTCGATACTGATCGAAGCAACTAGACATTCTCATAAAGTTCAGCTCGAGGTGTACCCCTTCTTTTTGGGCTTCTTTGAAATGCGTGTTTTGGTTCATTTGCTTTGAAAATTGTGAACATAAAACTCAGGGGATTACTACTTGGCTGCAATCTGGATTGGTATAACGCATCTCATTCTTTTCTACAGTTAATGGTTATGCAAATAAGTGCCATTGATTTTTCCACCACACTACCATTTTGACCATAATTTATACATCTTACATTTTTGATGTCCGCCTAAATCTACACCAACGAATTGCCACAATTAAATTCAAACATCTTAAGAAACTTGAACAAATCCTCTCTTTTTCTTACTCGATCCATCGTCCTCCTCCCAAGTCTCCTCATCCACATAATCCTTAGTCCCCATATCCTTGACTCTCTCTCCAGTAATCTTCAAAGCTGCCAAATTAAATCCCATCTCATCCTTCTGTCTCTTCAAACTCTTTCTCAAATTCTCCTTAACACCATCTAACATAGTCCTCATAGTTTTACTTGAAACAATCTGTTTTTGATGTGTCTTTAACATGAAGAATAATATTCGACATGTAAGTGGTATGTTCATCTCTTTTGGGCAAAATATTTAAGAATGTGAAGAGCATGGGGAGAGTAGAGAATGGAAGAACGAGCAATGCGTCGTGAAGAGCTGCGGCTTTGATTTTCTGGAGAGTATTGAGAACATGTCTTTCGGCACTGATATTACCGAGAGCCATGAAAAGGAGGTTGCGGGCTGGAGGAGCGGTATTAGGATTAGTGGCTTTGGCGAGTTCATATTCAGCCATTAGTTCCAGATCGACAGTACCGATCTCAAGAGCTTCGACAATCTTTTCTCCAGCCATGAGAGTCTCGGTTGTTTGTTTTCCGGCGGCTCCAACTTCATTATCATCGTCTTCCTCGTTCTTATCAGGATTCAGAGATGTTGTCAAGGTTGATTCATATAACTCTTCCAACTCCTTCTCCTTCTCTTCCTCAAGGAATATTTGCTCGTCAGTTTGTTCCCACACTCGAATACTTTTATCGTGACTTGCACTGACAAAGAAGTCGCCTGTTCGACTGACCGCCAAAGCCCAGATTTCACCGTGATGACCATCTAATCTTTGGATTTGTTCGAATTTGTCTCCATCCCAGTACTTGATCATTTTGTCTTTACTAGTACTGAAGAAATGATGTCCATTGCCATCTTGACTATGTGGAATAAATGTGACTTGTAAAATACTGTCTTGATGTCCAAAGAAAGCTTTATGACAATCTCCGAAATCGAGACCCCAAAGACGTATATTCTTGTCAGCAGAGCAAGTAACAATGAGCTTGCTATCAAAAGAAATATCCATGTTAAGCACGGGCAACTTGTGACCATACAAATTTAGGAAGAGCTTTAGAGAATCGACGAAGAAAACCTTGACGGTATTGTCCAGGAGGGCCACAGCCAACAAACGTGCATCTGGTGAAAATCTCAAGCTCAAGATATCATCTGATACTTTCAATGTTCTGGTATGGACGAGTCGTAATTTTGGGGTTTTTCGTGTGGTTCCGGGGATCTCCTCCTGAATCACCTCAAAGTTCCAGAATTTAGCTGACTTATCTGCACTTCCGGATACCACAGAACGTCCATCTGGGTGTACTTGTAAACTCCAAATGGCACCTTCATGTGCTTTGATACTCTCGATCATTGCAGTCGCAGTTACATCAAATAACTCCAGTTCCCCAGATTTTGTTCCAACCACTAGAATTTTATCTCCCGGCAAAAATGCACAGCATAGAGCATAGCCACATTCAAAACTTCGTATACAAGTTCCCTTGCGAACGTTCCAGATTTTGATACCACCATTAGATACTGATGCCAGCATTTTGTCGTCGGAACTCAGTGCCAACGCTCTTATATCTGCTCTGTGACCTGGCATTTCGACCGATAGTGTTCTTGAGTAATCCGGCATTTCTTCGCTCTTAGATTTCTTACTCTTCTCTTTTGTGACTACTGTGTAGACCTCCAGTTGATTGTTGGAAGTTGCTACAAGCAATTGCATGGATTTGGTGCCTTTAATGCGTACCCAATCGATGGATCGAACTCTACCTCCCGTTCTAACAATGACGTATGGGACGAAAAAGTCTGTGATACCAGCAGTTGAAATGTCTTCGACCTTATCATCCACTTCGTCAACTTCCATAGCTGACTTCTCAGTTGCGGCCAACTTTTCTCTTCTTCTCCTGCGCTTTCTTGCTAAACTTTTTTTTACTTCCTCTTCTGATCGTATCCTCCATATTTCAACCGACTTTTCCGAACCGTGAACCGAAAAGTAATCTAAGCGTGGGTGGAAACTGATTTCGAGTGCCCTATCTTTTCCCTGTCGATGTAAAATTCCTCTACCCTGAAGATATCGAGCTTCAACTGCACCGTTCACCTGTTTCGATAATTTGTATAGACCGGCTGTATCAATAGACCACACTTTCATTTCCCCATCGTTTCCAGCCGTGATACACCCACTACCATCCGGTGAAGTGCCTAAAGCCCAGCATTCTCCATTTGTTTGAGCGACATGAGTTTCGATACAGTGCTGAGATGTCATATCCCAGAGTTTGATGAGTGCATCCTTGCCAGTGGTGAGAAGGAATCCCTCAGATGAACTGTCCTCCACATCAACTACTTCTTCTTCTTCACCAGATTCCTGTGGCGCGTTGGGTTGAATGAATTGGAGTCCGGTTATCTGATCCTTGTGTCCTCTCAATTTGAACAAGCCAACCTCAGCAACCAGGTCCCATACAATGACATCTGTATCTCTCGAACCACTAGCTAGCCGGACTCCGGATTTATCGAATGCTAGTGTAGTAATCGCAGACTTGTGCCCGTTGAACTTGACTAGAATAGTTGCAATTTTCGAGTCCCATAGTCGTATACTACCATCCTCGTATCCGACGGCGAAAATGTCTATGTCTGTTTTACTCTGGGCAATGGCTGAAACTTGAGATTTACATTCATTGTCTCTCCATCGACTTAAAAGAGCTCCGGTCTTTATTTCCCAGCATAATACCTCCTCATTGGCAGCCACTATAGCTCTTCCCGAACCTGTATTTCGACTCGAGACGCCGGCTCCATCTGTTGACCAAACAACATTTGAAGTACTCGAATTGACAAGACCGAATGATTTCGAATGCTCGTATTTCCTAGAAGTAAGTAGGTCAATAATTACTCATTGGTATTTATCATTTTGAGGACTTACAAGTAAGATTTAACCATATTTATCAACTGGCGCAAAAGTACTCATATGCAGTTTGAGAACCAGAACTTTTTTTCTAACCTATGCGATAAAATTCCTTAGTGCTACCGATAAGCATGGGTTTGACGGGTTTAAAAGCGGCCGCAGAACGAAACGCTTCTACGCGGGAGCGTCCAAAGATATAATGCCGCTTTAAAACCCAAAGCTAAGCCACCCGCCCCACGTCGTCAGCAACCTGAGCTACAACAACACAACAGGAGAGCAGCAGCTTAATTCCCCATAGTGCATTAGTAGTACTGGAAACATCACAACGGGAAATTCAAGTCTCTCACTCACCACCATAATGCTTCTCCTCGATTACCAAAATGTACTCATTCAATCCGTACTCACGGAGAGATTCTCAGGGTCTGTGTAAACCTGTATCCTGACGCTCAGCCAAAACTAATTCAAATCAGAGCACCACCGGTGAACATTGACCAAACTGTAGCCGATTTCGACGGTGTTACTTTCCACATCTCGACCCCTGAAGCAAAGACAAAAATTCTCGTTTCCATACAAGTCAAATGCTACGATGAACTTGTACGATATGGCGCTCAGCAGGTTCTTGAGCGTGAATATGGTCCATACGTTGTTGCGCCGGAAAGTGGTTACAATTTCTCGGTGCAAGTGGATTTGGAAAGTCTGCCAGAAGAGAAGGGTATGAATTCCAGTCACTATGTATGGCATATGCTGATGCAATATATTTTCCAGAAGCCCGAGATGATTTGATTAGACGTATATCCTTATTGAAACGAAATGCCATGGCTGCGCCATTCGAGCATGCCTTCACGGAATTCCACAAATTACAGGAGGAAGCATCGAAATTCACATCCGAGGAAGCTCCCCAGGGTGTCAGAGAAGGTGGAGATGTTATGGCAATTCATTACCGTGATGAAGAAGCGATTTATATCAAGGCCAGTCACGACAGAGTTACTGTTATCTTCAGTACAGTTTTCCGCGAAGAGACAGATAGAGTATTCGGAAGGGTCTTTATTCAAGAGTTCGTAGATGCCCGAAGGAGAGCTATTCAAAACGCTC